CTTCCCAATCTTGTGGTAACTCCGAATAGGCCTTCTTACCACAGATCCAGTACAAATTCGCTGGGGCTCTCCAGTTAGATGTGATGGATAGATCAAACCATACGTCCTTTAAATTGGCATATCTTGCAAACGGGTTAGATGGTTCTGAGACATTTGAAGCTGACCACCAAGTAGTATTTTTAGTATTAACCCACAGACGTGTTATACATTGTCCCTTTCCTGGCTATACAAACATGACCTATAATGGAGGTTTTTAACCACCATTCCAATTTACTTCTAGTACTTACTTGATGATCAGACTGGAAAGGTATCTGTTGTTCATATGTCTCAGAGCCAGGGTACCATATTTCCTTTGCCTCCCATGGCCACTGGTCTCCCATATTAGTACCTCCACACACATAGCAATTAGTTACATTAAGACTACCTGCAATACCCTCAGCCAAATCAATAAATAGGTTGTTAACATTATGGGGAATTTTATCCTCAATACTCATCTCCTCATAGAAGGAATGAGAAACCTGATGAGTTTGAGTTGCCACTGTCTCAGTTTCAAGACCTACATATATTATTGTTCCTGAATCTACTCCTGTGCCATATATTTGAAACCCAAACAGACCTCCAAACCTGTCAATAAAGTACTGCAGATTGGAAATGGTCATGTGAACGGGGTTACACACATAGTTTTACAGTATGGTGTGGTAGGCAACCTTTGGATAATCATATCTTGATCCACTGTTTTTCCCAGGTTGCCCAACCTACACATGACCAATAGGGGCAGAAGTTAGTCTCTATTTGGGCAATCAGGATCAGTAGATCTTTTACTGGGACATAAGTATTTATCATTAAACCCATAAGTTCGTTCCCATTTAAGATTACCACATACATTCCAAAGTCTTCCACTACCCGAAATCGCCTTACATGCATCAAATAGTAGAATACCCGCGGAATGTATGGTGCTTATCACAGTCCTATTTATTAATGTCCCCTGGGAGTTACTATTCCGAATTACCAACCAAATTGTACGGGGTTGGAAATGGGGATCAAAACATTTAGACTCTCCTGATATTGGCTTGCACACACTATAATCAATATCCAAATATCTACATTTAGATACAGATCCCTTACATTCATACTGTGAGTGCCAGATGAAAGTTTGGGATATTTGGTTACCTGTTTTAGTAGTCTTAATGCAACTATCGCAATTCGGTATGTCTATACTCCTACCTTCCTGAAAAATCATAAAAATACTAAGACACAATAAAACACATTATTCCTGAAATCCTCATTTTTCTTCGACCGTGCGATGGCCTCTCAGCTTCCCGATTGTGAGGGCTGCAAGGATGTTGTTCTTCTGATCCTCACTTTCCTTCACAGAGATCCCTTCAAGATACTCTGGCTATGACACGTAGGCAGGTGGTCAGGCTTTATTATGGCCGTCAAAACACCTACTTGATGATCTTTGTAGACTTTTAACTAGAATGTCTCGCTATCCCCTCGTCACTCCGACTGAGTTGCACGCTTCAACCGGGTCCTGCAAGGATTCTCAGGATCTGGAGTAGCTTGCCAAGAGTCTGCTGCTGGTTTAACCTTAGAATGATGAATCCAAGGAGTCACTTCCGCCACCTTTACAGCTGTTGGGGTAGATAAAAGAACAACATACAAAGGCTAACAGAATACACCCCGAGCTTTAACTCAATATGTATTGGTGGGATATTACGAGCAAGTCCTGGAGGATTATTTTCTTCCCATACTCCTGGAATGTCAAGTAAGGATTCATCACTCTTAGGGTTAACACTTGTCACTATGGAATAGAAGCGTCATTCTTCTTCCCTCGGCACCGATATCACCATTATGCCTGGTAATCCCTTAAACTTGAGAGATGTTAATCCATTAGGTAAAAGGTTATCTGAGTTTAAAGCTTCGATAATAGATCTCGTCCTAAAAGTTGAATCGGACACTCTGGCATATATAGGAACTAATGCTTCACCACATGGCCTCCCAGAATACAAGTGTGACTCTTAAGAACCGGTCTAGCTGCACTTCTCCCAGTAGCTCCTATCACAGTTATAGTCTTCCCCGAAGGCGGAGCCACCATCTTAGTCACCACAGAATGTTCAGCACCTGTGTCGATCATGAAAGAACTTCTCTTTCCCCCTATTGCTACATCGACCATAGGCTCCGCTCGACCAAGTGGGATGGAGCCCAGTCGGTATCAATAGTCTTCCATGATAGTGTCAGCCAGACCCACAAAATCTCTATCCTCTCTTTCTCTAGGTCTCTGCGTGGGTGGATAGTATCTGTCTCCTTGAACACTTCCTCTACTATTCCCACCATTCCCTCTAAAACTTCCTCTTACTCTATAACTACCACTATAACCTCCTCGTACCCTTCTCTCTCCTTGTCTATCACCTTCATACTGCTCTCTCTGTGGACACTCACTCTTCCAATGTCCCTCCTTTCTACAATACGCACATTAATTCCTACTTAAAGTCCCTTGCTCAGCCTATTCTCGTCTCCTCTATTCACTTCCCTGTCTTTCTACACTTAAGATAGCTACCGCTAGCATATCTGCCTTTTTCCTCATTTTACGTTCTTCCTCCATCTCCCTATTCATATATACTGTATTTGCAATCTCCATTAGCTGTATTATGGACATCCCTACAAATCCCTCTAATTTTCTTTAATTTCCTTTTACTATCACCTTGGGCCTGGCTGACAAATGCTGAGTCTATCATTCGGAAGTTTTCAGGGGCCTCTGGATTAAAGGGAGTATACAACCTATTTGACTCAAGCAGTGTCTAATATGGGACTTCGGCAAGGCTGCTCAATAATAGGTTCCAGTCTAGGAGTAGTAAGATAATTTTATTAGTCAGCATTTGGTGGATGAAAAAACGTTTTTTTTTAAAGTGTTAAACCAAAAACCTACCAGTAGGTGTCACCAGAGGGTAATTGTATCAAAATAATCTTTATGGGTCTAATAAGAAAACTCAACTTTTAATATATTTATACATAAAATAAAACCTTATAGCAATAAATATATTAAAATAGGGTAAGCAATCCTACATCTATCTGTTATAAACAATGTATTATCAATGTAACTCCCGAAGATGGCCAGTAGGTGGCTTAGAGTGCCTCCCTAAAGTCAAATGAAACAAATAGACTTTAATTAATTATGTCCTATTTTATTATTACTTATTTTAATCAATGTCCACCCTGCTAGCTAGGCTTGATTAAATCTTTAGTTCTAAGGTAAATTAAACATTTCAGTTTGTAGTTTAGTAAAAGGGGACATTTTGGACAAAGCTGGGAGGGGCCCATCCAGTAACTAAAAAAAACCAATATACCATTTGATACCATTGATCATTGATTAGGGGGAGGGGTAGTACAGAAATACAAGAGTTTGAAACACAGGAACAGATAGGTATGTGGGTAGGCGGGGACAGTAGAGCAGGGGGAGTGCAAATACTGATTATACCAGCCAGAAATGGGCGTGGCTAATCTGGCTCTGGAGGATGTTTGGGGGGTTGGTAATCAGATGCCAGGGGGGAGGGGATGTCCAAAGCAGTTGTAATTAAGTCCTTAGTTCTGACCACCATGTGGCTACATTGTTTCCCATATGACACAGTTTAATTCACCAAGGCAACAATCAGTTTCCAACAGTCAATATATAGAAACTGATCATAGAATTCCAGCCTACTAGTTACAGCCACATGTACACTCTGCACTAAATTTAAGTGAAGACTGCTACATGGAGGCCATGCGGCCACCAGGACAAGCTACTCCCTACTTTTTTTTTTTTTTTTTTAAACCTACAAGACAAAAGACTAACAGCCAAGTGAATCAGATTATTTCAACAGAACGTCTGATTCAAAAAGCTGTACAAATATACACACAGTTTCAACAGTCACACCAATCTCCTTATCACCAGCAACACATTGCGCAGTCACTAGGCCCAAACACACACACAGGATCCTCACATGCTCAACAATATCACGACGTCGCACACACGAAATTAAATCAAAAACCCACCAAAGACTATACACTTATCAATGTAACTATTATTCAAACCATACAACTATCCACGCTATTAATCCATATAAACTAACCGATCACATAACATTTCAACAAATTCATCTCTACAATTATCTGTACTATAAATCAACTTTTGACTAACCAACTATATCACATTCTAGTAACCTCATCTTTACAGTCAGTGGTTATGGTACAGTTAGTAAGTGGTTATAATACAGTTTTAAAGTCACAGATCAGTTAGTAACAGTTATGGTATTATACATATAACATAAAACAGCAATTGTTAGTAATTTTTACACAATGTCAGTGGTTATGGTACATGTCAGTAGTTATGGTACCGTGCGCTATTTTACAGTTATACACACAATTTACACTCCCACTAGACAGCAGAGCTCTAACTTTCTAGTAGGACATACAAGTTAACCAATTCACCAACTACAATATATTTAACAACATTTACAATAATCCCAACTAAACTATTGGCCAGTACCTTGAATAGACTACCTAAAACTATATACACCCGTTTTGGTTAGCCACACTGCCCAAGCACCACATATAGCGAACTAGAGGGCGGAAATTGCCCTTCTAGTCTATTTACTCTATCAAAAGTCTAGTGGGTTCCAAATTTACACGCCTTCCCACTTAGCCAAGATAGGTTGAGAGCTAGCGAACCGAATTTACACAGGCGCCGCTTAGTCTCCCGGTCCCTCCGACCTAGCGAACGTAATATACACCCTAGAACGCTAGTCTAGACAAGACACCGGTGTCCGGCTAGGGCTATTTACACAGGACCCCGCCTGACTAACCAGATCAAACGGTCTTACTAAAGAGCGTTCGATCGAGCGGTGCGCCTTCGCTCCTTCCCTCCGACAGAGGGGGCAGATTCCATACACAGATTTAAACCCCTTTTGGGCCTACCGCACAATCGGTATACCCCTAGTGGGTCTGCCGTCTAAAACAGCAGTTGTCTTACCTCCTCGTTCCTGAACCTGAGTTCACACTCATCGACGGGGACACCCCAGCACTTCTTACGTAGAGGCCGATGATCTCCTGGACAACAGACCAGTGGCGCCGAGACGAAGGGAGGTCCACGCAGAAGTTCAGGGGTGCAGCCGTAGAGAACGTGGGCAAAGATAGACCGTCTCACGCCTCTGCCTCTCAGCTACCGTTGAACGATGAGCTTCCCGGCCAATGCACCAAATGATACCGGAGAAACTGACGGAAGCAAAGCACAGAGGGATGGACACAGGTTTCTTCAGGAAGGAAGAGATTCTTTATTGGATCACCGATCGGGACTCAGAGGGACTAATGTCACCAAAAATACAGCAAGTTCTGAGCCCTGAACAATAGTGCAGGCTCCCTATATAGGCACATAACTCCTCCCATTAATAGCTACACCCACATATACCTTTAACCAATCAATGAGCAGAATATAGACTTGTACATCTAGTCAAACCACATGGCCCATCCAAGACAAAGGAAATAAGTGCAATTTCAGTTCCTGCATTCCTGCACATGCTCAGTACACTGATGACAGTATCCTAGCTACATGTAGCTAACCAACTGACACAACATACACATATGCCACATGGAGATTTTGGCCTACTAAATTTATTTTTACCGAGATTCCACCACAATACAAGAAGTCATCTTGGAAGTAACAGCCCCTGGGTGACAAAAGAAGAGGGCATTTCTGACAAAGAGCACTGTGCTGCCTGTTACTTAAAGTTTTATTAACTCCTACTGCACATTTTCTTTAAAGTGTTCAGTCACTCTATAACTGAGACCTGAGACACTCATGCTGTGGCCAGTTGAAAAGTTGGGAAGCTACAAACTGGAGGACTGGGGCTGTGAATTTGAGGACTGATCTGATTCTTATTCCATTCTGTTTTCATCGGATTGTTCATTCTAATGATGGTTGATTATGTTAACCATGTCAGCTACTTCTTGGCTCCATATTACCACTGTAGATTAAATATATTGCCAGCTGTAAAGGTAATACAGGGTCTCGCAGTATCATGCTGCTTTAACACTGTGTGTGCTGAGAGCTAATGGAGAAGCTCACATGCTTCATAAGAGCAACATTTAATAGAAAGCTACAGCATTTTACAGAGACATGTCCTGCATGAGGATCCTGGCTGTGTGCGATAGCAATGAATATCCCCTTATTTTTACAACACACCTCTGTGTGATATTTCTCAGCATTTACTCACCTCTACTGGTTATATGGGTATATTTATAGTCTACCCAACTCCCAGCTCTGTGTTTTGTATAGGTATATTTGTATTGTGCCCAGCTCTGTGTATTATTTCTCTATTGTTTCTCAGCTCCGTTTGTGGTATGGTTATCTCTATGTTGTACTTGGCTCCATTTACATTATAGATATCTCATGTCCTTTTATATTATAGATATCTCCTGTCCATTTATATTATAGATATCTAGATAGCTCAGCTCTCTGCATTGTATGAGTATCTCTGTACCGTGTAGGGAAGAGTAACAGTCTGGGGGAGGAGTCTGGTGTCCATCCATCTTAAAACTCCACCAGCTGCCACTGAGTATGAACTACTACTGAGCTACAGAGTTAGTCTGGCAGGCATGTTGAGCAGACACTCACATGCTTAACCCCAACACTGGCAGTTCCTATATCGGGATGAGGGTGTGGCAAAAGTGGGTACCCAATGACATGAATTGCACCAATGGACCTGTCCAGTGGGGGCAGACCAACCCAGAATGGTACATGGTCACCATGAAGGACTGGCAGGTACCGGACTTTTCACAGCACATCTAGGAAATGGGGGTGACAGTCTGACTCTACACTGTTTGTACATGTCTGCTTTAAATAAAGGATTACTTTGATATTATTACAAAGTACTTCGAGTACTCTTTTTCACAACGGAAAATACATTTTCAAATTTATTTTTTATCTACGCACTGTGCATCAACATGCATTACAGGGCTGGTGTGCAAATTCCTCCATGGCTGCTTTTTATTTTTATTCTGACTTAGTGTCGAGACATTGGCAAACAAACGCTGGGTGCCAGGTCTGTCTTTCCCCATGGGCCCGCTTGACGGTTGCCTGGTGATCCCACAGGCATGGGGGCCCCACCGTGCTGCCCAGTGTGCCCAAGCTGAAAGGGGAAATCCTTTGATCTCTACTGTTGGGCCATGGAGAGGCGGCCCTGTTTTCTGGCCATGGGCCCTCTCTAGAAGGTGAGGAGATCAGAGATCTCCCTCACCGGCCCTAGGGCCCTTCAATCGGTGAGAAAGTGTGTACCCTCTCCTTCACCAAAGGTAAGAAGAAGGGAGAGGGGGATGATAATTTTATTAAATGTATAGTATTATTAAAAAAATAAATAAAAAATAAACACATTTGCTACCTGCACCTCTCAAACTCTGAAACACACACACAGCACCCCCCACATACACAGCACCTCTAACACATACAGCACTCCCCCCACACACACACGCAACACCCTTCATACACACACAGCACCCATACACACAAACACATACATTGCACCCCTCAATGCAGTATGTGTGTGTGTGTATTCACCAGTCTGTGTGTGTGTATTCAGCAGTCTGTGTTTGTGAGTGTGTATTCAGCGGACTCTGTTCATGTATTCAGCGGACTCTGTGTGTGGATTTAGCAGTCTGTGCGTGTGTGGATTTAGCAGTCTGTGCGTGTGTATATTCAGCAGTCAGTGTGTGTATGTATTCAGCAGTCGGTGTATGAATGTGTTCAGTAGTCTGTGACTGTATTCAGCAATCTGTGTGTATGTATGTATTGCATTACCCTAGGTATCTATTATTACATTGATTACCAATCACAATCTGTAACCAGTCAATTGAAATTAACCAAATATTTTGCTACTTAATTACATTAATATCAATATATACTATAACTCCTTTTTAATTCTACAACTTAATAGAAATGCAGAAATAAATATTGCAATATTTAAAAACTATATGATCAGTTCTAATATCCCAGTCACTACCAAAAATTGTTAGAATATGCTATATATGCCGTCTTTTTATATCACCTGCAGCTCAATGTATTCTATCCGTGGCAACCAGAGTTTAAAACATCCAAATGCCCTGAATCTGAAAGTGTTCCGCTAAAGAAGTCATTGGTTTAAATCATTTAAAAAAAAATTTCATTTCTGAGCTAATGTGTATTCTGGATACAGAAACAATTTCTATCTTGAGATCTTTTTTATTAGCTGCCAGCAGAATACAGGCATTTCTAACAGGGTAACATTTGTGCATGCTGCAGTGAACTTAAACAGAGCGATACGCATGACAAGAAAATATATGAATAACGATTTAATTTCATCTGTAGCTGCCAGGGCTCTGCTCAGCAATAACATCTGAGATTCACAATGAACAAAGTAATGGGAGTTAGCTTTTTTCTAAACAATTTTCACATTTTCAAAAATGTAAGCCCATTCACAGATTTAAAGAAACTGGCGACATGCAGTATATTTCAACAGCTGCCCTGATGAAAGCTCTCAGTTGGGAGCTGAAACGTTGACATTTTATTTGATCATGTAAATAAAAGCTAAGTTTTATATTCTGTAATACTAAGTCCATAGAGTGCAGTTTTCCCTTGGTTTTTGTAAAATTTTTGCCAAACCTGCACTGGGCTTTATTGGTTATAACTAGTGATGTCGCGAACCCGAAATTTTCGGTTCGCGAACGGCGAACGCGAACTTCCGCAAGTGTTCGCGAACCGGCGAACCGCCCGAAACGCCATTGACTTCAATGGGGAGGCGAATTTTAAAACACACAGGGACTCTTTCTGGTCACAATAGGGATGGAAAAGTTGTTTCAAGGGGACTAACACCTGGACTGTGGCATGCCGGAGGGGGATCCATGGCAAAACTCCCATGGAAAATTACACAGTTGATACAGAGTCTGGTTTTAATCCATAAAGGGCAGAAATCACCTAACATTCCTAAATCACAATCAATATGGATTGACACCTGACATATGACATATTGACACCTTGACATATGGATTGACACCTGTCCTCAGAGCCCCTGATGCACACGGACACAGAGCAGAATAGAGACTGGTCCCCTACATAGGGTCACTTGGCAGATATGGATTGACACCTGTCCTAAGGATCCCTGATACACACTGACACAGAGCAGAATAGGGACTGTTCCCCCTACATCGGGTCACTTGGCAGATATGGATTGACACCTGTCCTAAGGTTCCCTGATACACACTGACACAGAGCAGAATAGGGACTGGTCCCCCTACATCGGGTCAATTGGCAGATATGGATTGACACCTTGTTACAAACTGCTATTTGTAACAGGCCCTTTAAATGGCATATTGCCCTGCTTCCCTGGGTTGTGGAGAAGCCTACTTGCCAGCCTCCTCCCGCATGACTATAGCCCCTGGGAGATTGTGAAAATGTATGCACTTTTATTTGGTGTGTATGGCCCTTTAAGACTGTCGGTGGGCATATTGGGGCTTATGGACTCTTTATGTGACTGGTGCTGGCCCTTTAAACACCTTTTTTGGGACATCAGGAAGATTGGGACACTGCCCCTTTAAGGCCGTGTCCCAGACTTCTGATATGGGAACCGCGGCCCTTTAAGGCGGTGTCCCCTGTGATACTGAACCTGGTGCAAACCCTTTGTGCCTGCCTGGCTATTCCCACTTGGTTCGAGATGTAAATGGGAAATTATTTCAGCTACAGCCGTTTTTTTTCAGCCTTATTTCAGCTGCGAGACTAAGTCCCATTGATGGGACTTAGTCTTTTCAACCGTTTTTCAGCCTTATTTCAGCTGCAGAGACTAAGTCCCATTAGTGATGGGACTTGGTCTTTTCAACCTGAAATAGACCGTCTGGCAAATCCTATGGAACTGTTTTGGGCGGGAGAAAATCAATAACTGCGATTAGGTCATAAAGGGACCTCCAGCTAACTTTTAAACCCCTGGATGGATTTGGCTGATTTTTGGTTATGTTTATGTTTTAAGTGTGCTGATTCCAAATATGTAATTATGAAGATGGGATGTGTAGTTTTAAAGTTACAGGGTATGGCTAAAAACTGTATTTTTACTGCCTGTGTTTAATTATGTTAATCTCTTCCCAAACGTCATTTCGTTCAAAGTGGAGAGAATGTTAAAAATATATATTTTTGTTCGGAGTGTGAGAAATGCTTTTCAGCCGCTTCTAATCTTAAGCATCA